TGGTGACTTCTTGTTTGTCTCCCTTGACCTTCTTGATCACACGAGTGCGGATCTTCTTCTTCTTTGGTTTGCCGTCTTCAGAGATGGATTCGATAACGCGAACCTCTTCTGGGAGTTCCTGGATCTCCTCAGGTTTCTCTTCTTCGTAAGGAACCTCTTCAACGGTGACTGTAGTCTCTGGTACCTTGTCATCCTCCTCGACGGTTTCGATCTTGGTGACTTCTTGTTTGTCACCCTTGACCTTTTTGATTACGCGAGTGCGGATCTTCTTCTTCTTTGGTTTGCCGTCTTCAGAGATGGATTCGATAACGCGAACCTCTTCTGGGAGTTCCTGGATCTCCTCAGGTTTCTCTTCTTCGTAAGGAACCTCTTCAACGGTGACTGTAGTCTCCGAAGGCTTGTCATCCTCCTCGACTGTTTCGATCTTGGTGACTTCTTGTTTGTCTCCCTTGACCTTCTTGATCACACGAGTGCGGATCTTCTTCTTCTTTGGTTTGCCGTCTTCAGAGATGGATTCGACAACGCGAACCTCTTCTGGGAGTTCCTGGATCTCCTCAGGTTTCTCTTCTTCGTAAGGAACCTCTTCAACGGTGACTNTTCAACGGTGACTGTAGTCTCTGGTACCTTGTCATCCTCCTCGACGGTTTCGATCTTGGTGACTTCTTGTTTGTCTCCCTTGACCTTCTTGATCACACGAGTGCGGATCTTCTTCTTCTTTGGTTTGCCGTCTTCAGAGATGGATTCGACAACGCGAACCTCTTCTGGGAGTTCCTGGATCTCCTCAGGTTTCTCTTCTACGTAAGGAACCTCTTCAACGGTGACTGTAGTCTCTGGCACCTTGTCATCCTCCTCGATGGTTTCGATCTTGGTGACTTCTTGTTTGTCTCCCTTGACCTTCTTGATCACACGAGTGCGGATCTTCTTCTTCTTTGGTTTTCCGTCTTCAGAGATGGATTCGACAACGCGAACCTCTTCTGGGAGTTCCTGGATCTCCTCAGGTTTCTCTTCATCGTAAGGAACCTCTTCAACGGTGACTGTAGTCTCCGAAGGCTTGTCATCCTCCTCGACGGTTTCGATCTTGGTGACTTCTTGTTTGTCTCCCTTGACCTTCTTGATCACACGAGTGCGGATCTTCTTCTTCTTTGGTTTGCCGTCTTCAGAGATGGATTCGACAACGCGAACCTCTTCTGGGAGTTCCTGGATCTCCT